TTGTCAATTTCGATGATGTACGAAAATGATCAAAGAATCCACAATTGGGGAAAAAAAACTCGAAAGAAGGAAGAGAAGAAGGAAATTCGATAAACGGCGAGTGCAACATTAACATTCCGCCAATGTATATTATGATAGAAACTAATATCTTCCACAGCATTGTACGTGCTAATGAATACAAGGGTAACGTTGAAATACTAATGAGTGAAATGGTCTCTAACAACACGCGTCAGCCTCATTATATCGCTTTTTATTGCATAGCTAGCTCGTTGTTTGGTAAATTCTAATACCACTGTAGCGAATAAACCGTTAGTTTCTCTCTAAACAGAGGGACTCGTAGTAATACTTGCTTTCGCAAAATCCTCTCTTGTGCCTTGATAATCATAAAATAACAACCTACGTTGTTGTTGCTGGGAAACTGCCGACAATCAACGTAAGATGTCTTCATCGTCTATCCAATTGGCGACTCGTTCCTCTACTTTCCCCTCAATTATCATACGCACGCTTTTACTCGATGATTTTATCCAATACATCAATACGCAAAACATCAATTTTCTACTGTGCTATTACTACTTTTTTTATTAGTACTATGTTACTTGTTATTGGATATTTTTCTATGATACGTGCTAGATTGCCGATGAAATATTATCATTGTTCTTTTTCACGATCCGGAAATGCTTGTTTCCTAATAACGGCGAAGTAACGAGCTTAATCCACCGTAGCAGCGATAAACTATCGGCGATTCTCGAGGCAAGAAGGCCACCTCCCTTCTTGCCTCGGCAACCTTTTGCCTCGGCTTTCGCGTTGGTCCTGCTCCCTTTCACCATCTATACACGGATGGCACGAGCGAACCGTCTCATTAGCTGAGACCTTATATGGCGCTCAATTAAGATTTTTACCAGTCTTGGGTAGGTAAATCCACATAATGAACACGCGAGCCACGTTGGCGACTCGACGGAGGAGAGAAAAGGCTTTATGAGAACACGGAGAAAGTTAGGTATATATAATGCATGGCTTGCCCAGATTTTTTGCGATCGACCGATTTTGCATCGGCGGATGCATTTCTCAGAATTCTGATCTATAAAATTCACGCATGAAAATATTTAAATATGATTTTCTATAATTACATAACTTTTTGTTTAATGCGTGATTTTTTAATTATATATTTTATCCTAAGTATTTTACCGCGCGCGCTTGCAGATATTTTATTTTAATATCTAGTTAGCGACAATATATAATATATATTTTGCCAGCAGCGATTTTACCCATTTAATAAAATGGGGAAAAAGCTTTGAGTTTTTTATAAATAAATTTAGTAAACGACTAAATCTCGTTAACGAACGTATATAATTATTAGCGTGTCGAACGGTAGGGAGCGATTATTTTATGTTGAAGTTTCCGCTAGAGCAACAGTTGTAATTGGCATCTCATCAAAATATAGTACTCATCTCCGTGCATTCACGGCTTGTCTTCTCCATGCGACTCGCAATCCGGTACTTCCTCTTGTTTCCATCACAGGCTCGTGTTAAGTCCAAGAACCATGACCGGCTTAAACTCCATTCTCAATGTCTCGCGACGGTAATCTCAAGACGAAGTTTATCTTGCTGCACTATGCATAACGACGGACACAATAGGATGCGCTATTCATGCTCAGAAGATTAAAAACATTAACTAAATTTATTGCAAGTTCCATCATTCGCTGAAATGCTAAAATACTGGATATTACCAAGGAAAGAGGAAACTAATATTTCCTGGCTAATTTAAGGAAAGGATATTTACAAAGTAACATAAAAAATCATGTTTTTTCCACTTTTTTTCACAATTTACATTTTATTATATGAAGAAGTTTTTTAAAGAAGCGCATTATATTACAGTTATATGTTTTGATGCATATAAAAATTTTTATAATATAAAGAGTTAAATATAATATTACTTAAGGCGTGTTTAATAATGAAATTCCATACACACACTTTAGACCGTGTGCCCTGCCGTTTTACACGTTCCTTTTTCCTCCGTGGATTATTGTGTCCAGGCTTGCGCTTCGAATTTCGATTCGTGTTTCAACAAGCTTTACTCGATAGTCGAGGTTGCACGTTTTCCGGCGCACGCGTTAGCCCGCGACACGAACATCGGTCTCTAACAATTATTCGAGGACATAGCACGTTCAACCGGCTTCCGTCTGCCGGTCGAAATTATCGTGTGTGTAGATATATATTTTGTTTTATTTTACACACATACAAACAAACACACACACACACACACACACACACACACACACACACATATATGTATATTATGCAATTTTATACATATATACATATATATATTTTTTATTATAATTATAATTTTATATATAAAGCCATATGGTGGAAAAGCAATTGGTGCGTTTGATCTATCGTTTCTCCCCTTCACTGTCAGTCCCCTCACCAATCCCAAACTGTCGATTGCCATGCCATTTCTGCTCTCTCCGCGCCGTTTCCGCCATAACGTATATACATCCCGGGCGATTTATTGACTTAGGTACTAATATGTACGTACACTTAGGTAGTATATGTTGGTAGGTACTGAGACCGATGCGGCGCGGTGGCGCGCGGCGGCGGACGTGTCGCAGCCTCTCGATGTTAAGGTAAAGGTACCAATACCCGGACACTTAAGCATAAGAAATGTACCAATATCTGGACACGTATCTGTGTCTGGATACCTTTAAAAAAATATAAATTTATGAAAATAACGTTTGGATATTATAACTGAAGTTTTAAACTACAAGAAAAATTACTTTTATCTTTGATTTTAATTCGCGTTATACTTATAAATAATAAAGATGTCCGGATATAGGTACATGTCCGGGTATTGGTACCTTTACCTTACCCCCGACGCACTCGAGTTCCGAGTAACACAGCTGATGCGAAGGAAACGGAAGCATTGCGATCCGTGTTCATCTCTGCCCGCTCCGTCTTCGTTGCTCCCCACTTAATGACTGAAACGGATACTAATTAACGACTATGAAGATGAAAGTCGAACGCAGAACGTTTACCTCGCGTCATCCGTTTGCTCGTCGAGCGATCTGATATTATCAGGCATTTATTGCGTCGCACATTGGCGAACTCCGCGTTTTACTTGCGCGTCTCGACTGTGTACGTTTACGCGGAAGGCCCGATCGATCATTGCCGCGTCTTACTGACTCTCTCCGCTGCTCCAATTTCTCGTGTATACGTTTGACTTGAACGCCCCGATCTAATTAGGGTAACTAAAAGAGCACGTTGTTAATCAGCTTTTAAGGTCGAAGTAAGCGCGGTTTTCCGCAAAGTCGGCGTATATCTTCAGGCTGCTGGCCCATTCTGGTTATAATTGAAGAGCTTATCTTCAAGCTATTTTATGCTCCAAAGCTTTGCGGGAAAACTTCATAACGCGTAAATTTTATTATTTGTATTTTGTTTAGAACTGCTTCGGAACGATTTAATTGTGCGAATTGAAATATTTTACGAAACACGATACAACCGAGGCGTGAAACGCTTTTAAAAGATTCGACAATATGGGTACATACTCTTAAAATGTTTAAATCGTAAATTTCAGCAAGCTTTCATCTTTCAGTTTCTGCGACACTACTTTTGTGTATTAGTTCAGGAATACTAAGTGTCTACCCGAAAGCATCGTTTACTCACGCGATACAGCTTAATTCCCGTAGCGTAGCCGAGAATCGATCACAAATTAACTGCCAATGCAACTCCTCTCCTCTCCATTCGCTTCCTCTTCTCCGTACATATCAGCCAATATTTCATCGATCTAATGCACGCTCCACTCTCTCGCACGATTCGACTAAGTTTCCGGGAAGCGCCGCTAAGCGCGATGCATAAGCCACTCTCTGTAGAACAGAATTAATAACTGTCGAATTATTAAATAAGAAAAAAGTTCCCTCTCTCGTGTGTTTCTCGGCGTACACGCTCTTCTCCTTTAGGTCGCAAAATCTTGCGAAAGTACGGACGAGCGATAGTTAGTCACCGCGCGGCTTGAATATTCATAGGAAAGGGGGATTGTCGGGGCGCGCGCCCTGTCCCTCGGCGGGGGTTTATATTCATGAAAAGTCTGAAAAGCTTCGGTGGACATTACGCAATTTTAATACGTCGCGCTAGCTTCTACGAGAGAGATAGGAAAAAGAGAAAGAGAGAGAAAGAGAAAGGACGATGACTCCGAAAGAGCGAGGTTGAATCTCCGACTACATCCCGGCGGTTTTGCTCCGTAAATCCGTATTACAAATTACGCGAAAGCACGGTATTAAATATCGTTCATTTAGAATCTGTGCGCGCGCACTCTCTTTCTCTCTTCCCCTCTCTCACCCCTCTCTGTTTAGTATATATATATATATATATACCAATTTTTTATAAAATTTTATAAATTTTTTTTTTATAAAATGGTATATAGAATGTATACCATTTTCACGCGAAACATACGTTTTTCGGTATGAGAGACGCGTACATCAGAGATATTTGTATTTTGAATAGGGCGAATCGATGATTTGGCTTGGAAAAGCAACGAGAAGAGGACAACAGCAAAAAATAAATATCATTATATAACGCGTGAAGCTTCTCTGTGAAAATATGACAGATTCAATCTCGCTTTATCACGTTTGTAATAAGGAGTGCACACATTAGAAATCGTTCCTACGTACTACATCATTTCAAAGAATTATTTTTGGACATAAAAGTGAGTGCGCATTTACTTGGAGATAAGCCGGTTCTTTTTAAAAGCTGTTCCATTTCCTCTTTTTTGCCGATAGAATTCATTCGACAGCTTTTATCGAAATTTCTATTCAGTTAGACCGTTTGACGGGCGGGGAGGGGGAGTGAGGCGTTCATTGCTCTCCCAGTGCCATTCCTTTTCATTAGTCACGATAGAGGCGTTAAACGCTGAGTTGTAACCGCGTAATTGCGGAAAGACTGTCCCCGATGTTGTTTTAACCGACCCTAATCCCTCTCGTTCTCGTCTTTCTTCTGCCGACACAGTACGTCTTCGTGGTGATGGCGGTGCTCGTTCTGGAGGCCGGGGTCGGCGCGCTGGCGCGCCTCTACGAGGAACAAGTTGGCCCTGAATTGAAGATGAATTTGAACCGCACCTTTCTCGAGAACTATTCCGTGCGGTCCCGAGAAACCGCGGCCATCGACCAGATGCAGAAAGAAGTAAGTACGAGTGCCTCACATCGCATCGGGAGGAATTTCTTTATCCGTTTCTCAGATCCGTACGCACGCCCGTTTGCGCTTGAAGAGTTCGCCGTCGAACAATTGCGAACAGAATAGGACGCGCGCCGACCGGCTATTCCGAATTCCGATATCGCGAACACCGATGCACGCTCTCTCGGTATCTATTTCCTCCCTCGTTGTCATTTTTATTCCCGTTGCATCTCTGTACACACTGCGGACTCCAAGTAACGTTTTTCGCGTGGTTTCGATTCGTGGCGTGCTTCATGTTGTTACGGTGCTACCAGAAATACGCAATACGATACCGGCGTCGAGTGTTTGCTGAAAACGTTTCGTATGGCTTGTCAGTACGTAACACGATCGTCGTCGGCAGTGTCCTTCTAATCAGGAAACGCGGTAGCGTCTCGCGCCAATTCACGCATAGCGAGGTCGCGTAGAACGCTGATACACACTGTGGATATACATATATTACATATATAATATAGATATATATTATATATGTATATACGAGATCCTGAATAAACCTGGCTTACATTTTTGTATCTTATTACGGCTAAAAACCGATTGAGTTTTAATTGTGCTTAATAGCTGGGGTTTTTAAATTATATAATAAAAGTGTTTTTAGTTTTTCTCTCCGTGCCTTATGAACAAAGATATTACAATACAAAGTCCAATTTTTAAGAAACGTTTACGTCGACCGCGTTGATTCTCGTACTTTCAACAGGGAATAATAGCATTTCCTTAAACAACAGACATATTTCTTTTTTCTTCTTACTTTCTTTCTCTCTCTCTCTCTTTCCTTTCTTTATTACTCATCTATCTATTTAACTAAAAAATAAATATCTGTACAAAATTACTTTTTTTAAAAAGTTGAAAAAGTGAGCCAAGAGTACATACTCGTTGTACTAAACCCATTAAATTGTTTCATTATTTGTACAAAAAATTTGATATCAAAAACTTTTTTAAAAAGATAATTTTATACATCATGGATGACGCAGCCGATTTTCGCGAGCGATTTTTTCTTGACGAAAATATAATCCCGTCGATTGTTTAATTCAATTTAAATCGGTGTTCGTTATTTTTTAACACGGTAATGGTAGTTTCAACGCTACGTGCTCTTACCCGTGTCCTTGATTGGTAGTAAGCCACACCCGCGTCATCTCGGAGTTGCTCGACATTAATTTACGAATGCAGTCGAAATGGCTCGGTGGCGGCTTTTGTGCCCGCGATATCACGTGGCGGGCACTTTTATTTATGTCCTCCGCCGACGATGGCACTCTCTTACGAGGACCTTACAACAGTAAATCATCGTTATCGCGTCGCGGAACAGTTTCCGCCCATTCGCTATAAATCGATTAGTGCCACAGTGAACTTGCGGCGAAAAACTTTGCGGTTTCGTCTCATACTTTTGCGAGGGATGTCGTCGCTTTGCGCGCGTCATCTCTCTCCCGAATGCACTTATATACATCCCGCAAAGATCTAAACGAAGATTTACGTCTAGATCGAAGTTGTTTGTAATCGTAGGATTATGCTGCTCGTTATAATTGCAGGATTAACGGTGGTGGTAGTGGCAGAGGATTATGCCGACCGCGTACATATTGCCCGTTTCAAAGGGATGTTTCCATCGCGTAGGGAATTAATCGCGTGCACGCTGTCTAGATCCACTTTATGCCGAGTGCAGCATCTTGATTTGGATCAGACTTGTAAGCGTACCTATACACGTGATGCGATTTACGGTGCTGATAATAGCGCGGGGGAGCTAAGTCGCTCCCGCAACACCCATTGGCCCTGATAAATCGAGCCTTGCAATTTCACCCCCTTCTGTCGGATATCCCATTGGCCGACCGAGGATTTTCGTTTCCATTTCTTCACGCCGACCGAGTGCGCGATGGCGTTAACCCCTCCCCCCTCACCTCCTCGTCTTCGCCGAAATTGGCGAAACCGTCGGGCAAGCGGGAAATTCAGGATCCGCATTTTATTTATACACAGAGGATCTACGTGTACAAGCATTTCAATCCGTTGGGGAAATCGAATTTTACCGCGACAGCGGGCTCGTCGGGGAATTTTTAAGGCGACTTCGCGAACGGAAATAAATGTCTCGCATACGTCTGTACCTGGTGAACGCGCACCGAAAATCTTTTTGATGTATCTCCCACGGGGAATATTCACTAAAAATTTATTCATCTCTACGTTTTTTCCATATTTTTATATATTTTCTTGATTTGGACTTTATCTTACCATTCAGGACAAAGTGGAACGATTTTCTTATCAATATCGAACGACATTGTTAATGCTAAACGAAAGAACATATTTTCTTGCTTACATAAGATTCGCGCATCCTTTACACAGTTCTTTACACGGTTGTAAGAACTTACAACGCGAAGGTCGCATCTGATATGTACGAACGTCTACGCGTATACACATTCAAGTGCATTTTGTGCCCTTTTTTCGGAGAAAAGATTTCTTCGATCTTCCTCTTTTCAGACATTGGTCCTTCGAATCACCCGAGAACATCCATTCAGAAGAGTAAATAATTGATCGCAGTCGTAGACGTTGCAGCAAATGCTGTTCTAAACGAGTTTGTCAAATATCTCTCTTCAATTTTTATTTCTACCTTGCTCAATTTGCTTGGTAAATCGAAATTTTAAAGAGGAAGATTATTTATATTAAAATTATATCAAAATATAGAATTTTTTGTTGTGAAACATTGTGGCTATTAATAAATGAAGAACGTTTTATAATGCTAGGCTCTTCTGTAGCTAGTCCGGCCTCTAAACTAGTCCAGCGCTTCTAAGACGACGGGAACGCCGAATTATACGTGTTCAGGAAGAAAGGTGAAATGCGTTGACCGTAACGCCTACGTGTATACAGGATCCGTAGAAGTGTTTATCGCGACTAATGGTTCCGGCGCGCGATGAATCCCACGGGATTACGTGCCCGCATTAAAGTTACCATTTAACTTGCTGCTGCCGCCGAAAACACGTTTCTCACCTCCATTAATCTGCCCCTCTTCATTCTTCATCGGCAGCCCTCTCTGACCCCTCTTTTTCAATGACTCCGCGGTGCCCCGTATGACACGTCCCCTTTATCGTTATTATCGTACGCGGTTATTATCGTTGCCATCGCCGCTATCATTGTCCCCCTTCCTGCGTCCCGCTTATATTTTAATCCACGCATCGTAAACGGATCTGGAAAAATAGGAAAGATAGGCCTATCGTTAAAAACGACAAACTCTAATGCAGTTTAAAAGCTTGTCACTTTCTTTTTTGGAACACGATTCTTTATAAAAAATTATATGTTATCAACATTGTTAAGAAATACGATGTTACGTAATGTCCCGTGATCGAAAGTGTCATATTTTTATGTATTTTTCCGTGAATTTTCAATTTAATTTATTTTAATTTAAAGTCACAAAATTTTTAATTATCGAACCCATTTTCTCCTTCGTTGCGGAGTAATTAAAAATTTCTTCGATAAAGGTGGCTGAGAATATATTTACATAACGGAAGCATGGCATGGAAACTACTCCATCTGCTTTCGTGAGCCTCCCCAATATTATCGTGAGAGACATTATTATTGAAATTTGCAGTTCAAATGCTGCGGTGCCTTGAGATTCGAGGACTGGCTCGTGAGCGAGTGGCACAAGGACGAGAAGGTCCTCAAGAACGGCAGCGTCGTACCTGACAGCTGCTGCAAGACGCCGACGTTACTTTGCGGGAAAAGGGATCATCCCTCCAATATTCAGTACACGGTACGTCTGCCGCGACGTCTCCTGCCTTCCTTGGCTGATTATCAGACGTGACATTAGCTTCAATTGAATACCGTTCAATTTATCTACTTAGAAAAAAAGTCGTAACTCTTTTCCTTAAATATGGCATTATTATAAGATATTAAATACCAAATATCATATTAATAATTTACAAGTTTATACCTTCAACTTAATTTAGATAAATAAGCTTCTGTTCTAATATAAAGTAACATAATTTTTATATCGATATTATGTCATTTCAGGGCTGCATTTACAAGTTCCTGGAGACGACGAAGGACCACCTGATAATCTTAGGCGCCGTCGGACTGGGCCTGTCGGTCCTCGAACTCTTCGGCATCGTTCTCGGGTCCTGCCTTTATATAAAGCTCAGGCACGACTTTGACGACTGAGAATTACTTCAATGCCCCGAGGGCAACAACAACGGCCAGTCGTGGTGCAGATACATGCAGAACAACCCGGAGACCATTTGATCGTCGGAGTAGGGGCGGAGGAAGAACGCGCGATTACAGCTGCGGGATCGTACGGATGAAAGGGTACCATCCTCGGCTGCGGACTTTCGTTTACCACTCTCTCCCCCCAACGCATTCAGAAAGGTATCAACAAGTGAAAATGGAGGTAACGATAAAGAAACGGCGCCGCCTTCGTCGATCGTTGCCTCGCTTCCCGCGAACTTTGCGCAAATTACGTGATCACGGAGGACAATCAAAGAGGGAAGCGAAAGTTCCAAAAAAGGTAAAATCACAAATTGTAAAAATCAATCCGACGACGTCTCGGATTGCGGTCTGAAGGCAAAAAGGTGCTTCTGATCGTTGAATACTTGTGCAACGGAGCTGGGTTTAAAACTCGTGCTCATTGTCGACGATATTAAATAGATTTTTTCAAAGACGGTGTTATTACGGGATATAAAAAGACGGAAAAAAACTGAAACGTATCACGAAGATTGCTTCTAAAATCGATCGGCTTTGTTCGTGCCTTCGTAATAATTTATTTCTCCATGATACTGTCTTTGTTGTGTCGTTTCGGAATTTTTACGAGCTCGCGGCAATGCCACGACAGATTTTAAATCCAGCTTTAGTGCTTTTTTTAAACAACACTCCCACACAAGAAATTACAAAGATGCAAACAGTTTTGATAAACAAACGTGCGTGGGCGCATTTTTTGGCGGTACGCAGGACCAGTGTAATTATCTCGAGTATATATCTAAGGTCTTTCGCGATCAATGCAGCCGATTGACTGCGCGACTCACGACTAGCCGAAACTGTAGTCCTCGCTGTCAGTGGTGTTTGAATATTTCCTGTGGTATTTTTCTCCCAAACGAAAAACAAGCCTAGATCCTTTTTTATATAGCACATCGTCAGCCCACGTTGACGTTAATTACACAAGCTCTAATCTTCTCCGCCGAATGTATAATATTTTACGAACTCGGCGAAAATTTGCACGCGCGAAAGCGCCGACCCCACTCGATACTGCCATTGCAAATTTGCACAATTTTCAATCGCGATCTAAGTACCGATTACATCGTTATAAGAGCCATGACAAAAAAGAAACTCTTTCGCGTTTCTAGGGAAAAGCTACGTGACTGTCTGACTTTTCCCGCGTAACAATAAGATCTGATCGAGTCGAGTAATGTCAATTTTCCTGCGATCGGATTGCGCGCATTATCGAGTTTAGTTTACATCACTTTTTTTTCTCGGTTCGCGCAACTGCGTCGATGGATAAATAAATCGGAAAACCCACCTACGGCATGGTGGAAGGAAAACAAGGTGTGCTCTTGCGCATCTTTCTGATCAACCAATAAGTGCGTTGGGCCACTAACTGAATTACTTTGTGTATTTACCATGGACAAGATATGGCTCTCTTTGCTTGTATAATTCTACATTGGATTTCCTGTTCGTCCGTTTCTGAATTGTTAAATATCACTCCCAAGTACTTATACTCATTGCATGGGGTGATTTTTTGTTGATTTTCCAGTTCTAGTTGGGATGCTTCTAAACCTATACATAGATATTTTGTTTTTTGAAAAATATTATTCATTTGAAAAAATATTATTTATTTGAAAAATTTGAATGAGCACCTTGTTTTCCTTCCACCATGACCTGACGTAAACACGATAACCGGATCGATCTGTATCCGGCAGCGAAGACAAGGCGAAAATCGACTTGATAGAACTGCAAACAGTGCCTTGATGATATTGTTAAGCTCAGAGATATTTTAGAGTATACACGTTAAAAAAAGAGAAAAGACGTCGTAAGGCGGTGTAAATTATTAAAGAGGAACCAGCGGATAGAACGGAAAGGAGAGACTCTAGCATGTAATAAATTTCACACACGAGCAGCATGTATATATCCGTTGCTTCGCAAATGAGTACAAGCCTTTGCATGCCCCACATAGCAAAATATATCACCAAGATATCTGGAACTTGTCGAGATATCATGAGAATATCTCAGAGACATCTGCAAGATTATAAAAAGCCATGATAATTTTATCTCAGATATGATATCTGATTCTGCATATATATCGGATATCTATGCCTCATTTAAAAGCAGATATATTATGTTATACAGGGAAAAACTTTGGTACGTAACCAAGCGGTCCAAATCTTCTCAGATTGTTTTATTGACTACGAATAAACTTGAGTTGATCTACATAAAATATAAGAGTTAACTGTGAATCGGCCATATATTCGTATGCAAATGTTGCAGAGATATCTTTTTCAAAGATAAATGTGATATCGAGTAATGATGCCCTACAGATATTCTGTAAATATCTGAAAATAAGATATCTCAGATTTAACTTAAAATTGTAGGCATAAAGATATCTGGCTATATTTCAGATATATTTTGCTGTGTGGGACATTATTTATGATAAACGCTTTCATCCGCGTCGAAAAACGAGAGCGCGCGCCGTTCGAATCGGCAATTGTAAGTTGCAGAAATTTTTCCGCCGATTTCTACGAATCGATTGTCCTCTCCCCGCACACCTCCCTATTGTGTCCCGTGCGAATTTTGATACGCAAGTTATATTCCGTGATTCCAACACAGCCGATCGTTGACAATTACAGCCTTGCAATTGCGGATTCTACCGATGTTCTTGCGCTCAAGAAAGTCTAAACATATTTTACTACTGTACCTTTCCCAGACAGCACAAAGATGTCTAAAAGATGACTAAAAGATGACAAATTTTCGGCTTAGATGTCTTTTCGTTAGAGCTTAAAGTCGACTAAAAAATGACTAAAATATTACTTATGTCCCACTAAATGTCGTCTTATAGCTGAAACTTATAAGATGACTAAAAGACATCTGATATTAGACATCTTTTAGCCATCCTTTAAAATTGTATTGTAGACATGTTTTCGTTCTTTATATTATATAAAAATTTAGTTTATAAATGAAAAGTTGATGTTAATAAACCTTAAAGTTATGGCCAGTCCATTAAAAAAAAAAACAAGGCAAACGTATATCGTCGGTCTGACAGACCAATGCGCGGGTATAGGAAGGTTAAACGCATTAGAAAAAGCGTCAAGTGAGATCTTTTATACGACTTTTCGTTTAGTTAAGGCCCGAGCACATGGAAAAACTTAAGCAGTAAGACATAAGCAGTAAGGAAATCAACGGCACTGATTCGCTACCGTTTACGTTATGTCTTAAGTTCTGGACTGTAATTGGCTGATTTGCTTACTGCTTAAGTTTTTCTATGTGCCCGGGCCCTTAAACAGTCGACTTTTCGTGTAGTTGGAAAGACGTCTTTTAGACATCTTTTCGTCTAGTCAAAAAGATAACTATAAAAAAACGTCTTTTCGTCATCTTTTAGTTTTATGTGCTGTCTGGGTTGCGTCATGTTATTTTAATCTTAATATTATTGTCCTCTCTTTGCTATTATGTATACATATATATTATCGATTAGCGTCTAGGCGAACATTATACATATTGTACATATCAAACGCTATTCTGTTACAAATAAATGTTTAAATCGTACCCTCCCCGCCTCCCCTTTGGAGAATTGGCCTTTGAAAATACCGATGTATTCTTCTCTGTACCCGGAACGGGATCGAGTCGACGAGTGTCGGTAAGTATTCGGCAAAGTGAATCATTATTCTCTAAAGTATTCCTGTTCTCAGCACTTTGTGACATGTCTGCGCGATCGCGCGGAAGAACTTTATGCGCGTTTGTCTCATTCGCCAGTGAAAGTGGTTTCTCGAATGTCATCTCGGTGATTCCGCGTTGTTCGCATATTGCACCATCGATTCAAGGTGCGTCAACAGCATGTTGTTTCGAGTCCCAAAAGTGACGAACAGCCAAGCGAAAACCGCGAGAAGGTCTTTCGATATCGTTATCTTCTGCCAGCCATTCAGCTCCTCCAGAAACGTTTCCTGCGCTGTATTCTGGAAAAAATTATCGTATATACAAGCGTGAGTAAAGAATCTGCAATGTTACACGTGTCTCTTCGCTGGCTGTTAAGGAGGTTCGCCTATTAGTCGAAAGTCAACTTAAAATCTTAATTTTTTAATATGATTTACATAAACACTTTACACAAATAATCCCAAAAGTTGAGCAATATTGACCGTATAGTTTTTTTGTTTTATTTATGTGTATTAATATATATATATTATTCAGAAGTTAACCACTTTGAGCCTATCGCCTCATGAGAAACGGTCGCTCTGAGGTAAATGATCACTGATTTAGTACACACTTAGCCAACTTAGGACTTTGAAAAACTAGCATTTGACAGATGAAACATCAAAAGGATTGCATAAAAACTTTAAAAATAGGATTTTACCGTGTGAATTTAGAGATTTATTGTCACAATTTGGGATCGCTGTATTGACATTATTATTCAATCGTATTTTTGATTTCAGAATAGTAGACAAACCTCCTTAAGTCGTCACGATATTCTTACGTTCGACCACGTTTCGTTGATACCATGATAATGCAACAAAGCTAACTGATCATCCACCTTTGACGATGCTTGATGGAGTCCGAAAGTTACCAGATAAAGCAGAACGGCGATCGCGGTTTTTGCATGATCCATATAAATCTCGCGCAAGTGATCCATATCAAGCCGCGCCAGATCGAATCTAAAACAATTAATGTCTTCCCTGAAGTTAACGATATTTAAATGCGAACGTAAATTAAGTTTTCAGTCAAGTCTTCCTTCTTAAATGTTGAACGTACTTATCGAAGATGGAGATGACGCAAAGAGCGACTAGGAAGGAGAATATATTCGCATACATTTCGGAGAAGACCGAATAATTCGACATGAATTCCATCGAAGTATTAAAAAAGACATGAATCTGCAACCACAAATCAGATGATATTCATCTTTTAAAATTGGTACCACAAACTGGTACTACCAATCTGCGGTAATTGAGGAAAAAACGTTTACCATTATGAAATGCAAAAATGCCATCCCACCCAAGAGACCTTGATAAACGAGACCTGTGCACTTCCAAAATTTCTGTGCCGTGATTGCCACCTTTATCAACGTGTACGTTCGTGTCTCTGCGGAATCGCAGCCTTCTCTACCGTTTGTCGCGCGCGTCGTATCATTTTCCAAAGCACGTCTCGATCCGCCAATTTTCACAGCGCTAAAGCCGCTCCTGCCTTGAATATAAATTGTATCCGTAGTCAATTCCGGAAGCGGCACAGCTTCCTCATATTTTGTGCGCGCATTTTCTTGAGCCTTCTTCAAGATCTCGGTGATGGGCACCTCGTCGTCCGCTTGCGTGGAAAATTATTAATTTACGTTATAGATTTTCATTTTTGCTCCGCGAATGTTTAAAATTTCCCTAATGCGAATGTGACCTTTTAAAAATGCGTTAGAAAATTTATTTCCCCTTTCGACTGAACGTTCCCAACTATTTTAAAATTTAAATTCTCGATTAATCAATTGGAAGATTTTAAGTAGATTGCAATAGGAAAGAATCTTCGAACGGATTTTTATCAATTTTTTTTTTAGTTTGAAGCTATTCTTAATGAGACGTAAAGGATATTATTCTTTCTTTACCTCGGGAAACATTCCTTCTTCTTTTTCGTGATTTATCAGCGAGGCTATCTTCTCTGTCACTGTAGCGTTTCGCGGAAGATCCGGTATCTGCTCGATCGTGATCGTGATCTGCCGTGCGTGGCCGGGTCCCGAAGTTTCGTCTTTCGGTCCGTTTACTGCGCTTCCTCCTTCCCCCGAGAGACCTGGACGCGAATCTTTCTTCGCTCGTATGAACGTCGGAATTACGCGCTTTTTCACGAGCCGAGTGTAACGAGTCGGCTTTGCGTGACTTATTATTGCTCTTGGTATCCGGTGACTCGGTCTCCGTGTCTTCAATGTTATCTTGTCTCCGAAGAAAACTCTAATTGTAAGATGTTGAATGGTGAACTCAATAATAATACATTTTTCTATTTATCTAAATAAATAAATAAATAAATTCCCTGGTGCCTCTTGACCTGGGTTGATAAACTATAAATAATTGACAAATAAAATGCCAACCATCACACATGGGATTTGCCAAATTAATTATTAATTAAAGTAATATAATGACGTTGCGTTGCTGTATTTCGACATATAAAATACGTATCGCCAGTGAATTAATCAGTCATTTATTTTTAATTGAATATTAATTATATATAGTATAAATGTGTATGACTGTGCAAAATGGTTGCAATTTGTAATTTATGATTACCATGTCTAATTAAGTGAGATTACCGTGTCAATTAAATTAATTAATCACGCTAATTACACTAATGATGCTTTAAACTATACTTTCAGTTTTCTTTATAATTTTCGTTCCATAAACAATACTGACTGGTTTGATTTCTCGGCTATAGGGTCGGCTCGAATCTTCCGAGCTACTCCATCGTTTCTGCGACGGCGTGTTACTGTGTTTCACGTAGCTGTCGTTCTCCACAGCGCGAACGGAAGCTCCATCCTCGCTGTCATTCTGCTGGAGCTGTTCACCGATCGTTGTAGATCTTCGTTCACGAGAACTTCGACTTCCGCGTGTCATTTTACGACGCTCGAATAAAGCATCAATCGTTCAGCTGTCCTCCCGTCGACTCGCAACAGTCGCAACCATCTCGCGATTAATTTCAAACGCATACGCAATAAGTCCTTATTTTCTTTTAAAGCATTTGCAAAATGCGAAATTATTATCCGTTGTAAAAATTTCCGTAAATTGAGCGTGTTTAACAGTACAACTTCGCAGCTGATCATCACAGGGGCGACTGTCGTCCAATTCGCCCCAAGACCATTACGAGACGCCCATAGTAACGCTTTGTTGTGATTATAAAACTGTGTGGCGACCAGTTTAATCTATATTTATTGGGGGGAAATTCACAGCCGGCATTGGTGTACAAAATTTCGGCAGTGAACTGAAAAAAGTAAGCAGTGGCCTATAATATTGACGGCATTGTCGTCAATGGTTGGGGAGTGGTAATAATGACATGTGGCAGTGGCAGTGCAGGAGGTATTGCATAGCATTGCTAAGGCAGTGTCCGAATTTTATCCGGCATTGACTCGGCAGTACGGCAGTGGACGCCCCCTACGTTTTTTTAGAAAATACATATATCCGAATACCTAATAGATAGCACTATGTTGACTACATCTTAAACAACGTTATATTTCCAAAATGTTTTTACGCTATCTTAAAGCAACAAAATAGCAACAAATTCTGGTATAAACGTTTATTCGATTTGAGCACTCTATATATTTTTTTTTGCATGGGAGGCCAGCTTGACACAGATTCTAGCCCCACCACATACTAAAAAACTCATAGAGTGCTCAAATAAAAAAAAAAAACAATACACCAAAATTTGTTGCTTTTTTGTTGCTTTAAGATAGCGTAAACAAGTTTTTGAAATATAAGGTTCTGTAAACAATGCCACTAATAAATACTGCATCTTTGACCGTTATCTACGACTTTGATGGCTAAAAACTAAGTAAAAAAACTTGTTGCTCAGCTCTTTTTGGTCTTAAAATATTCTATGGACCGTGCCCTATCAAAATATGCAACTTACGATTTTGTTGCTCGCCCCTAACTGCAAATAAACAAATTATTTATCTCCTCGTCGATCGTTATCTACGACTTCGATGGCTAAAAACTAAGTAAAGGAATTTGTTGCTCGGGTCTTTTTGTTATTTAAATATTCTATGGAACGTGCCCTACCAGAATATGCAACTTACGATTTTGTTGCTCACCCCTAACTGCAAATAAACAAATTATTTATCTCCGCGTCGACCGTTATCTACAACTTCGATGGCTAAAAACTAAGTAAAAGAACTTGTTGCTTAGCTCTTTTTTGTCTTAAAATATTCTATGGACCGTGCCCTATCAGAATATGCAACTTACGATTTTGTTGCTCGCCCCTAACTGCAAATAAACAAATTATTTATTTCCGCGTCGGCCGTTATCTCGTTATCTACGACTGTGATGGCTAAAAACTAACAATAAGTAAAAGATTCTTTTACTTTATAGTTTTAAGACCAAAAAGAGCCGATCAACAGATTCCTTTACTTAGTTTTTAGCCATCAAAGTCGCAGATAACGGTCGACGCGGAGATAAATAATTTGTTTACTTGCAGTTAGGGGCGAGCAACAAAATCGTAAGATGCATATTCTAATAGGGCACGGTCCATAGAATACTTTAAAACCAAAAAGGGCCAAGCAACAAATTCTTTTACTTAGTTTTTAGCCATCGAAGTTGTAGATAAAGGTCGAAGATGCAGTATTTATTAGTGGCATTGTTTATAGAACCTTATATTTTGAAAATTTGTTTACGCTATCTTAAAGCAACAAATTTTGGTGTATTGTTTTTTTAAATTTGAGCACTCTATATGTGTTTTTTAGTATGTGGTGGGGCTAGAATCTCTGTGTCAAGCTGACCCCTCACCATGCGAAAAAAAATATATAAAGTGCTCAAATCGAATAAATGTTTATACCAGAATTTGTTACTATTTTGTTGCTTTAAGATAGTGTAAAAATATTTTGGAAATATAATGTTGTTTAAGATGTAGTCAATATAGTGCTGTCTGTTAAGTATTCGGATATACTTACGTAGGGGAGACCGGGGCTAACTCGACACAATTTTTTTAAAGGCAATTTTCAACAATTAATTAAAATTTTCAAACAAATTTAATGGTACACATTTAAAGAGCGTTCCTTCAGGTACAAAATTGCTTAAGAAAATTTTGCTGTACGTCGCTTAGTTTTGCCCGAAAGCTCGATGAAAGAGTAGACCATTTTCGAGAGATCAAAAAAATTACTTTTCACTATCAAAAACGCTTATGTCGCGTTAAAAATTACACTATAACTCAGAATGTTACCAAATTCCGTTGATAATACTGGCACATAAAGACGCATTTACAATAGGAAAGGCAAGTTTCTACGATAGATTTAAATTGCCAAAAAGCCTAGTGTCAAGTTTGCCCCGGTGTCGAGTTAGCCCCGGTCTCCCCTACCGTATTTTCTAAAAAAACGTTATATTTCAAAAATGTTTTCACGCTATCTTGGAGCAACAAAAAAGCAACAAATTCTGGTGTATTTGTTTTTTGGATTTGAGCACTCTATATAGGTTTTTTATTATGACGACAAGCTGCCCCCCCCCCCCCATTTCGATCGCCGTTTCCTGCTAAACGGCTTGAGCAACAAAATCCGGACTAGAGCAACAGCACATAAATAGCACTAAATTTTTTAATAAGTGCGGATTTTTTTGCAATAGTGGGGGGGTTAACTTAATAGAGGTGGCATTGACGTATAATAATGGACAGTACGCGACAGTGTTCATAATTGCATGGCATTGCCTTAATTTTATATTATTTATATATAGGATTGACGGCATTGTAGGTATTGACTAAGCATTGTCGGCAGTGTATGAAAATGTCGGCAGTGTTTTACAGCAATGCCAAAAATCGGCATTGGTGTACAAAATTTTGGGTTGTGAATTCCCCCCCAATATTTATGCTCGCTTTGACTCATCCAAAGCAACAAATCAAGTGAGATATTCAGAAATAGGAATTTATATTTTAAAATGTGGACGATTTAATAGCCATTTCTTGATTAGAAAACAATTATTAAGTTATTTAATTGAGAAATTATTATTCTTAGTATAATTAAGACAAGGAAATTTAAATGTATAAAGAGCTGGGGGCACGGGTTTCCGTTATCCGATCAAGCTGTGAACTTTGGCAAGGATTATTTTTTTGTGAATTGGAAACATTTTGGGGGGTGCCGCAAAAAAAATTTAAAAAAATTCTTTTGTCGAGTAAATAAGAACTACCCTAATACATATATAATAGACTAATTTTTTGTCGTAACAAGTTATATAAATATTAAATTGTTGATATGTTAATTTATAAAATAATTCCTTGTCTCGTGTTTTTTTTTCTTATTAACGTATTTCTGCTAATTTCGTCAAATTGTGTTGTCGTTGTAAGACTGAAATAATAAAAGATATCAGAGTGCAAATATTTAATTAACCAAGTTTTAATAAAAAATAACTATTTTTACAAATATGTTACAACCAGATTGACTGTGCCATGCCAATACTATTCTAGTTAATAAATATTGCAGTCAGTAATGTAAACAGCTACATATTTAAAATATATACATATTAAAAAATGTTATATAAAAAATAACGTTTAGACATTGTTTGTTATCTCGCGGTAAGCGTTCTTTCACGTCTTGACGATTTTCTCAAACAATTTCGCAATTCCATTATCGAGAATATATAAACGGAATATATCAGCAAGAAGAATATATAGATTGAAATATTTTTATTTTCAGAGATATAGAACATTTTTAACAACATATATTTAAGAAATTTCTATTGAGTTATTATACTGAATAGTATGTAATTTTCACAAAATCTGTACAATATACATAAAACATTTACAAAAATTGATTTTCATTTAGTATTAAATAAAACTTGTATTTTATGACAAAAGCATCTAAGAGTAATTATACTAAATATATTGTAAAAATAATAATTTACATCCAGTTTTATTTAGTTTTAACTTAAGCTATATCAATAAGTCTTCACAGGATTTCTAAATCACAATGCCGTATTTCTGGATGATTTTTCTGAAAATGAGAATAGATGAACAAACTATATTATTAATAATTTTAAATTACTATAAATTTATATATCTATATATTGTGCTACATATTATTACATAAAACGTATATTTGTATACCTTTAGTTTTAATTCTATTCTATCAATTTCCCCACCAAGCATATCTACGATATTTTCGCCGTGTTTCAATAAAAATGCCTCCAATTCATCAATATTTTGCATGCTTTTCACTTCCTATAAAAATATAATATAAATGACGTTTGTTGATATATTAACATACAACTTGCAATAAAAAATATAAAATCTATACCTCCAGCATTGCAATAAGGTCATGTTTATCTAAGTAAGATCTCGTGAGTTCTCGCCCATCAAAATCCAGTTCGGCTTTATATCTCACTAAATTATTACCCATATCAATGCCTTTCACGTCATGAATTGCACGAACCTGAAACGTACAAAAAATTTTAACATAAAAACCAATATTTAAAAAATCGATTAAATATTGCATAGTCGATTTCAGCGTTACCATTATATCCGCTTCTAATTCAGCATTAATTTTATCGAGATTCTCTTGCGATATACTCCTTCCTACAAGCGCAGCAACGTTCGAGTAGATTATAAAGGATGCCACTCCACCGAGCAGACCGCCAACCAGAAGCGAACCAATAGCGTCAAACATCGGATTTTCTAAATATGAGGTCAAGCCCATACATCCAGCTGCGACAATGACTCCAAGTACCTGAGAATGATACAAAAATCTCTCTGAATGCAAGATATTTGGAAAAAAAAAAAATAAGAATAACGACTTACAGCTGCAAAGTCTTCCATGAGTACGACGTTCACAGACGGATCCTGTCCTTCCAGGACAAACTGTTTAAGACTTTCTTTCTTTTCCTCCGCGCCTTTCTTTATGGAGTGTAATGCCATCATTAAAGTAGCTCCTTCAGATAGCAGAGATCCACCCAAGACGAAGTACGCCCAAAAGAGAGAATCTAATGGCGCGGGAAAAAGAAGACCATGAATTCCGTGATAGATGGAAAGACCCGTACCAACACAAAAGATCCCCACGCCCGATATCAATGAGGAAACGTACTTCATATTCGTATAACCATACGGGTGATCAGGATTGGGATTCTGCAAAATAATTGGCATAAAACAAATTAAGCTCGGAAGATCCCGAAATTCTTCGCGTGAATAATTTATTTACCTGCACCGATTTATGAATACCGTACGCTAGAATCAGCTGATTGCAGGTATCCGCTGCAGAATGTACACACTCGGAAAACATACTATGTGAGCCAGTATATAACCAAGCAATTAACTTGCACAAGAAATTACTGGCATTTCTGGAAAAGAAGAAATTAATCGAAGAAATTTACATAATTACATGCATACATATAAATTCAGTACGTACATGGCAATCGCAGTCAATACCACTTTGCCAGATCTTCCAAAAAGACCTTCTTTCTGAATTATCTCTGTTTTGCTGCCAATTTCCCGTCTGTAATCTCTCAATCTTCGCTTGACCGTAAAAACATCTACGATGAAAAGCTTGTGTTTCAATCTTTGTACCAATTATTATTCTAAGAGAATATTCCTATCAGATTATCAGGATGTATATAAATGATCCTGTAAGATGTGGACAAACAATCTCTAAGCGCAGATATTCTCTGTCTTGAGCAGATATTCTTTTTTATAGGGACCACTTTGAATTAAAGAAACAGAAGAAAATAAGAGGATATACATATTTACTTTGCTGATAGATCTTCCGCTCAACTTCCTTCTTCAGAAGTTCCTTCAACAAAGCCTCTCTGGATCCCCAGACTTCTAAAGCTCTATAAAAAGGCAGAACTATAAAATATTTTCAAAATCTTCTCAATATATAAGAGAGTATATAGAAATTTATTTAAAAAATCGGTTCTATTACTTAGCCTCGACATCTTTCCTCCAATATACTGTAATAGGCGGTTCAAGTTCATACGGAGAACGTCTCTTTGTTTTTGGCAAAGTCTCCAGATCGGAAGGCTTTAATAAAAAATCTGCCATAGCCCTCACGGGTGTAATAAAGTTACGTTCCAAAGAAGATGTCGACTTGTCGACTCTGATTTTCTTTTTCGCTAAAAATCAGAAGATTAGTATTTAGAATTTAAATCAGTGTTTATTGTGATACCTTTTTTCGACACGTCATCTTTTGATGGTTCTTTGGATCCCGTAGGCTGCTTCTCAACAAGCTTCACTGTCTGTCCCCTTTCCTTCTCCTTTTCATCAGAAATAACTGGCTCTATGTCTAATACTCTCTCTTTTAATTGGCCTAGTTTCTCTTCATTTAATTCTATTATTCTCTGCTGTACCTCCTCAGCTAGTTTTACTTCAGACTTATCTTTATTAGATTTTGCATCGTTGGATGAAAATCTTGTCGCGCAAGTCCATCTGCAATCCCCATGCCTGCCTATCTTTTTGTTAGCAACGATGTTTTGAGAATTCAAAAACGTATTTACTTTGTATCGTGTACCATACTTGGGCACTATTAAAATACTGGCGTGCCTTTTAATCGATCCAATTTGGAATATGCACAATTGATCGACATGGTAACGGCATGTTATGTTACGAATATAGTTGACAAGATTATGGGGCCGATGTAACATCCTTATTTTCACCCCTTTCCTTAGACACACATCACTTAACCTATAAAACAGTAAATCGATTTAAAACATATCACCCTTAAAAATAAATTCTTAATAATTATAGAATAAAAAAAACAGTGTAATGATACTATCTTCAGGAATTATTTGGATCATAATATAATAAGAATGTATACGAGATAATATACGTGCTAGGAAAATGTTCACTACAAAAACATTCACCTTTCCTGCCTGTCAAAATCGCTCACTACAGTCACTACAATAAGCACATTGTCACTATTGTTAGACAACTACCAACAACTATAAGATATTATGCTATTATAGTTCAACAATAGACTAGTTACAATTAATCTGCCCTAAATCTAAATATATAACGATATTAAATGACAGAACGACGATCGACGAACTGTCAATTTAAGATTGGCTGCGTTCAGCGGAAAAAGCAGCTCAGTAAACGCTCAGTGATTCTTTAATACGATTGGTGCTTGCCTTTGGTTCTTCTTCGGATCTAAGCGTAAAAACCAATCGTAATAAAGAATTACTGAGCGCTTACTGAGCTGCTTTTTCCGCCGAACGCGACAATGTCAAATGGTACAATCGTAGACAAAAGTGATCGAAATTCAAAACTCCGGAATATCTTTACCTCATAGAAGTTAGCCGGACAACTTCGACTTATGACATTTTTTTTTACGAATCGATTGTTACTCGTTTGTTATTGATTGTTAGACTAATTAGAACGTTTGTTAGTTAATTCAAAACTTTAAAGGCGTTTTTTTCGAAACACAATTTTTTAAAACGGCACGCAGCATAAGTCTAACAATTTTCATTCTATTCACTCCAAATTTTGACCATATCTTTAACAAATAATTGCCCCCTTTTTTTTTTTTATCAAAAATTGAACTGTTTACTTCAAATGCTCGCCATTGCAATCACACAAAAATTAATATTTTCCAAATCCCCTACGTATTTCTCTAGCTATACTCATGTAGATTAAGAGAAAATTTGTTGTTTTTTAAAGATCGGGTTATTCTTTATTCTTACCTTATCATAGTTTACAGTTTATAGTATAAATATTATTTCTACACGATTAGCGCCATATGCAGTACATATTTTGATTGATATATAAATCAGAGACAATACTTGAAATAAAATCCGACATACACACGTGAATAGAAGAATTTTTCTCGATAGTATTGAAGATAATTCTATTTATCAGATCCGCATCTGGATGTTTCAAGACACCGTCGGCTCTATGACAGAACTATTTTGCGCTACTTTATGCAACACATTGGCCGTAGAGGATGCTATTAATTCAGTCACGGTTGATACGGTTGTGCTCTTAGATGGCACGTGAAAGAAATATAGCATGAATCCAGCTGCCAACAACAGATGCATACCCAGAATTACAGCAACATATATAATTCTATGTCTCCCTGTAAAATCAATTATATTTCTATTTATTTTACTTGATACGTTTCCCACTTGCTAGACTAATTTATCTGACGAGTCAGATTGTTCTCTATGTATTTTAAAGACAGCATGTCTCTTACCTGCGATTACCGGTAACAATGATCGTAGTAAAACTCCTCCAGATAAAAATGTCACTAGTATGACTAGACTCCATTGCAACCAGCCAATTTGAATTACCCACAGGAAAGCTACTGGAACGTAAATGCTTAAGGAATATCCATACAGACACAAAAGTTCTAAGAGTCCTGGGACGGCGTAAGACTGAAAAACAAAGATTAGATGATATAGTGACAATGAATATTCTTGCTAAAGCAAAGGACTTGATAGCTAATGCTTGATACCTCGATCAATTCCTCCTCGGTGTTCCTCGAACTGTTGGTCCACTTTAACACACCCCACAGGGCTAGCGGTAGAAGCCAAGCATATAAAAATATAAAAGTAGCCGCGTATGACACAACATGGAAGTCGTATCTCCAGTGATACTTGGTAGAACCAGCGGTTTGCAAATAGTTGGCCACATTCTCGCTGATCGCGATGGAGAACACCAGAGTCACGCATATCCAGAAGGGTCCGTACAGGTCTGGATTTGGCCTTATGTGCGTTATAAGATAATTATCGCTACCGTGCGGTATCATGGATCGTTTGAGCCTTTCCAAGACATCGTTTGTATTAACGTTAAAGAACTTTTGGTAATACTCGATTGTCCAAAAGTTGGGTTGGGCAGTACCTAGGAAACACCATCATTTAAAATCGCCATAATACCTGCCTATCGACAGAAAACGGAACAGAGAAGCTCTTTAATAAGCTATAATTAAAAACCTTCGGTTTTATTGGGCATTCCTTGTAAATCTTCTATAATGCCAACACCCATCGAGTCATTTGGGAGGTTATTGAAGGGCTGGTGAGTGGAAGCCCCGGTACCCAGCTGTCCCTCCGAGTTGCCGGCATGACTTATCGATGGGAAATCGTGGAAGGATATAAATTGCGCGTCCGTGTCTTTTGATTGACCACTGTCCATGATTCAGTTATTCTTTATCTCCAGTTTGACAAGTGATGTATACATCGCAGGAAACAAACATACATAACATACATACATAGGCCACGTTGCGTAACGCGCATATGCCGCGCTTTTCTATAGTAAACGTTACGTATACTATAGATAAATGCACGAATATGCGCAAACGGAACGTGGCCATACCAGACCAGAGTACAAGAGAAAAACCTCTCTGGCAGCACGCTCATTGGATACCATGCGTCGCGGGCGATGTAATCGCATTGGTCGATCGAGGCCATGGACGCGGTCCCGTGGGTCCCGTGCACGGTTGTATATACAACCGTGGATGTATATACATACTCTTTAGTTTCAACGGTCAAAATTTAAAGCTAAAATATATTATATTTTATATATATTTATACATGTTATATAATAATTATATAATAATCATATAATAAAAAAAATTATAATAATATAGATAGCATATGTATAATTTTTCATATACATATATACAAGATGGACAAAATACAGCGTTATTTTATATCAACTCACGCTATATTTTGTCCATTCTGCATGTATGTACATAATTTTTCTAATTTTATACGTGTCGAAAAATATGAATGAGTTTATTTATAATCAAAAGCAGGTAAAATCCTCATGTCCGTTTATTTATGGTAGATAGGAATTAAGACCCGTTTAATTTTTTAATATTTTATATTTCAATTTAAACTTATATATAATCGATCGAAGTTGTAAATGCTATCGACGTCTGATCGATGTCGATCCGATTTACCATTTCCCCCTGGGGATCCAGGACAGTGACAAGACCGGCGAAGAAGTGTCTGGTTGATTTATTTCACAGCCCTACTGCAATATAAGGGCGCGTTACATCAACGCAACACACATATCATTTACAATCATACGAAATAATCTCCACGACGTTGTACATAATGCGTGATCGCGCGGTATTAGTACTTATTATGATACAATAGAATATTAGATTATTAATCGCACATAATTCATTAGTATCTTGCTCGTTTACCAATGTGACAAAAGGCAACATTCATTTTGTAGTTGTTATCGTTAATGTTATTATCGTCGGTGTATTTGATACATATATACTATACCATGACAATAGTAATTCACTCGCCGTTGCGGTGGAAATCGCGTGATCGCAAAACAATTTGTAGCGTCTGTATGCCGATGAATATATACGTGCTGCTTGAAGCAGCGACTCTGAGTCTGGGAGCTACTGGAAAAGAAATTGTACAAGCCTCGACAGAAATTGGCGACCGAGAAAATTCTTCCCTCGCCGATAACGCGGCCACGAATTGACACTTCGCGAGGAGAGAACTCGACTCAGGCTCGGCTCAGAAACTAATTCTTTGAAAATTGCGTCCTTCCTTTTTCTTCTTTTTCCCTTTTTTTTCCCTTTTCGCGAAGTGATAACCACTTGGGGTGCTCGACGGTGCGGAGGCTGTAACGGTGTATACAGCTAGTGCTCACAACGACGTTGGTCCGACGTGTTTACGAGATAGTTATATTGCAGTCACAGATTGCGAATAGGCAGGAACGATAATTAATTATTAAGAAATCTATGACGGTCTTAATACCGAGTTGCCGATTCCAATTCTTTTCCCCCCTGTTCCATTAAAATGCTGTCGACGTTACACACGCTGCTTTCTCTTCCCGCTCCCTCCTTTTTTTTATGATACCCCCAATAATACATTTATTTAGTAGCGCGTGCTCAAAATGTAAATAACGCCGTCGTTTATTTACAATATAATATTACGCCCCGCCGGGCGTCGTTATAATACACGGTAATTGTTTCGTTCGCCACTGATCTGACGACGGTGATCGCTTGATGTGTTGTCGTGTATGAACCGTCGCGTTAACATATTACATATACACATATTAAGACATACCCTGGTTTTTAATCAATCGTTACAATTATACGTAACAGTGCCTGCAAACGATGTGCTTGTTTTATACAATATATATCGTCCCGCTGTACGCTGCACGCAATCCGCAGGTATACAGCGAATTGATGTCGCGTAAAGGAAGTCCTTTACCAGCAAATTATCTATATATTTAGGGGCATATATGTACCACTAAACTCCTTCTATTACAGTAATTTCAGATTGATTATTCAGTCGCATGCTTAGTTAATAATTACGTACTCTGATTTATATAACAACGTATTGAACTCGAGAACGCGAAACTTCGCGATAATAAAAAGTAAACTGCGTACTGCGCTGTGTAGGATCTCAATTGACGCGCAGTTTTGCGTTAAACTTGTAATATAAAATGCAATTTGACGAAATACAGCAGAAACTGTAAAAAATTAATCGTGAAACGTTCCATTATTAGATTATTATTTATTCCCAGTTGTTCTAGGATGTATGTTATTTTAGGAAAAAAAACATCTAGTTTGAATGGCGTAATTAAATGTAAATTGGTGGAAACTTTCATTTTTACCGCGTGCAAATATCACACGCGTGTGTCCGAGGCTCGGAGAAAGACGTTTAGAGATTTTACAAAATTTTATAAGTACTGGGAACTTTCACTGCTATTGCTCTTGGCTGCTACACGTTATAACGTTCGATTTGTTTATACTAGTTTTACGCATACACGATTTGCTAAAAGGACTATTATAGTTAAAAAATGCGAAATTGACAAAATGCAGTAGATGCTGGGCCGGGAAACATTCGAAGTAAAAAATTGCTTTTTTTTGTTCTTTACCAAAATTTTGAGACTCCAGATGTCGGGAAATCCAATCTGACGTAGGCTGCAGTCCACTTGACGCTACAAATGCTTTGGAGCATCCTTCTTCTCCTTCTTTCTTCATTGAAAGAAAAGAGAATAGGAATGCTTCGAAGCATTTGTAGCGTCAAGTGGACCTAGCCTTAATTACAAGCAAAGTGTTTCCTTAAAGCAACATCGAGTAATAATAATAGTTAAAAATCGTACTTGAATTCAAATAAATTTTTGATTCGGGAGACGTGGGAGGCGTTACAGGCGACAATCTCCGTCTGTATAATCTAATACAGGATTTAGCCGATATCGGGAGAGAAGTGGATATACACCGTTACATAAATTTTATATCTTTCAAAGATCTACTGTCTCGTATAGTCGATATCTGTGTTTTCGCCAACACGTTAATGTAGAGTAGAAATCCTTACGATCCTAACGATGGAAAACTATGGGAGCTTACGAGAAATGTATCTTACAAGCTTAACCGTGTAACATCCCTACAGATCGGCTCTCGTTTCGCGGTCGTTTAATCGCGCGAGTTTTCAAATGCCCTACGACTTTATCAAATTCACAATCAATATCAATTCTACAGCTTGAAAGTAGGATAGAAGGAAGGTATTATCGTAGAAAAATCGTGCCGCCTTGAAAAACCAGCACAAATCTAATTCCCAAGCATTCTCTCGGAATCTCGATGTAGATACGAGTGAAGATCGAGGGTACTAAAGCCACAGAATCACATTGGTCGATCTAGAGTACCAGGGATATTGATATTTAACGTCATGCGACAGCACAGAGAAGTATCAGAACGAAGCGAACGCTGAGACACACAAAAGTACTCCCTCTAAAATCGCTAATCACGTTCATCCTGCGCTACGCCTGGATTCGATGCAGTGTCATATAAAAAAAGGACGATTCGAGTTTCACGCCTAAGCAGACTCTCGTCCATATGTATTACAAACGCGAGGCTTCTTTTGATCGACGTCTCTCATTTTGATCACTTTCTTTCGGTAATAAAACGATTTTACTTTGATTGCGGACTTACAGATGTATTACATAGAACAGGTACGTAAGAGTTAAACACTTTTTCTCCCCTTCTATCTCCCCCCCCCCAATCTTGGAAAGCTTCTAATTCCGAAATCGCTATATGTTGTGCTATACCCGATAACATCCGGCAAAAGTGTGAGCGAGGTCGACTTTTTTAGGTGCGGCAAGCTGACTTAGGCGTATTTAGTAACTGCTATATTTTTCAGTTCTTAAGAGTCGCGAATATCAAGATAATTGACGTTTTATGTTGGAGCAGAAAATCAAAGATTTCGCCGTTTCATGCCAAGCTCGAACTCGGAACTTACTCTGCTCGGTTCTCCTCGGTTTAAAAATAAAAGAATATTGACATTGAGAAAATCGCCCGTGAGAAAGCGGCGCTTTTTTTTCCGTTTGCCGAGGAAAGCGCTTTCATACCGCAAACGCGTAGAAAAACCTCGTGTCTAAAATAGGGGAGGCTGAAGAAGAAATAATTTAATAAAATACAAAAAAACGTTTCGCTTGTTCGACTCGAACTTTACCAGCGGCGAAACAGAAATAGCCGTGTACGCAATTAAACGCAAGAAAGAAAAAAAAGGTACCCTATTCAACTCAACAAAACGGAAGTTATAGAGATAGGGCGAAACATGACGGAAAGTAACAATTGGCGATTACAGGATATTTTGTTGGCGCGCGCTAATTATTATCGGAGGAGACAGGAGCTTTTGAGTAGGCAATCGAGACGGTTTAATTAAAAAAAAAAAAAAAAACAGATAAAAAATAAGAGAAAGTGCGCTTAACTACACAACTCAGTTCACAGATTGCCCGCGACAACCCGCGGGCATCCGCATTTATTTACGAACTAAGACACAGTGACGTCTGTACCGCTGCGTGTATACCCGGATCATTGTTAATTAGTCAAATGTATTTCTTTATTTTTCTTCTCATTTTTCTGCTCTGTATTCATTCTCTCTTTCTCTCGCTCTCTTTCTCTCTCCCTCTCTTTCTCACATATCGTTTACGTTGCATAATAATTCGAATACATTTACGCGACTCCGCGCTACAGCGGAGCCTCATCGATCACCTTAAAGCATTAGTCTTTAGTGTTTGATTATTATACTACAGTAATATACAGAAAACCGTAGCTCGCGCCGGTCAGTCGCTCGCGTCCCGTTCTCCACACTCCGCGTCCCGATCGACCCCGGCGACCCCGAGATTGGCGATCCTTCCGGTGGGAACCACGCGACGAGCGGGCGAACGGCCGGGGCGGTGATCAATATATTCGATAATTACAATACACTAAATATAATCGGCTCGTGTGTATGTATTAAAATATAAATAT